CGACTTAGATGTTATAAAGATAAGGATGATCCTCTTAACCCAATTTATTCTATTCGGAGTTGTCAATATTTGAACCATGATATTGTTTAAGGGATCTAATATCCTATCTCACTAGACCAATCGATTATCGGTGACAAAATATTTTTTGATAAATAATATTTATATCATGTTATATCTTTATGGAATAAATTATAAAACCAATAAATAAATAAATATATATATATATATATATATATATATATATATATATATATATATATATATATATATATATATATATATATATATATATATATGAAAAATGCGGTTGTGAATAATGTAACGTGTTGTCACTGACTCGGTGGGCCAACAAAATAGTACGTAAAAGATTTGGTAAGGACTCGTAGTACCCTACACATTTATTCGGTTTGATCAAAGGATAAATTACGATTTAAGTACCTAAATTATTAGTTTTTTAAAATCATATCTAATATTTAATTTTTATTTTATTTTAGTACCAATTTAAAAATTTAACATTAAGTTGTGTAAAAAATGAAATTTTAGGTACTAAATGTTCAGCCCAAGGGACTGCTGTGAAACCTTCTTCGAAGTCAGTTCCAATTCCATGTCTATAGCGAGAGGGAATAGAGCCTTTACAGTTTACATGCCTCAGCAAGCAAAGCAGGAGCATGTTATGCTATTGAAGGTGATGACACTGGTAATCAGTGAACATATTAGTATTAGGAGATTAGCACGGAGCCTGATTCGCCCCTTTAAGAGGGAAAGGTGGGTTTGAAGGTTTCAGTTTAAGAATCCACATGGAGAAGAGGAGGAAGCGTAAAGGTGCGTAGCGACTGACTAGAGCTCATTTCGAGCCTACTTGCATACTTTACGTGATCAAGTCATACATAGTTTGAAGATTTGACTCAGTCCATGCGACAAACAGCGGATCAAAACTAATAGTTTATGTATTAAAAGCATTAATTTTTAACCACAAGATATTAAAACAAAATAAAAACTAAATGTTAAATATGATTTTAAAAAAGTTAAAAATTTTAAGTACTGAAATAGATTTAAATTAATAATTTAGATACTAAACACATAATTTATCCTTGATTAAAACCAAAAAGTGAGGTCCATAACGAACGAAAAAAGGACCAACATAAAGTCCACGTAAATTTAAAAAGCACCACCAATATATGTGGGCATTGAAAGAGATTGATGCCCCCTGTCTTCCCCTTTCTCAAATACATTCATTTCCCCTATCTTTAATTTCAACCCACACCCGCTTGGTATAAATATCGTATACATTTTTTTAGTATTTTAACTATTAAAAATTATAAAATGATCACTCAATTATTTATTACGTTATAAATTCGTTTTCCGTTAAAAAATTGGTGTCAGTCTGTGCTGTATGTTAAGCTAAATAAGATATGATAAAATATGAGTTCATAATCTCAAATGATTGTCATATTTCAGTTAATATATTAACGTCCAACTCAGATGATCGTTAACTTTATAACGAAAAAGAATGAATTTAAAATATAATGAATAATTAAATAATTATTTTATAGCTTTTAATAATCATGTTACTCAATAAAACATTATCCTATAATCGAAAGACGATTTTATACCACGGTTATTTATCGATAGATTTGATATTAGCTTCAATGTATTTGATAAAGATAATTTACCCCACCGGCTACCCAAACCGACCAACCCTGGCCCTCAAAATCCAATCTCATCACTTCACTGTTGTGAACATTTTGACTTGGAAAAAACTCTACTAATCAATATATTAACCACTTGATGACTTGAACAAGAAAAAATAAGAATAAATTATGTATTTAGTATATAAACTATCAGTTTTAGTTTGTTTTAGTATCTAAATTTTAAATTTTTCACAATTACATATATAGTTTAGTTTTTGTTTCATTTTAGTATCCGCTTTAAAAACTTAACACGTTTAGTAGCTAAGATATCAAATTTGGTCCGTTTTAGCACATAAACTTTCATTTTTTTCCAGAATTTAATGTTAAATTTTTAATTGGGTATTAAAATGAAAGAAAAACTAAACTTTAGGTATGATTTTAAAAATTCAAAAGTTTAGATACTAAAACGGATCAAAACTAATAATTTAGGTACTATACACATAATTTAGCCGATAAAATTATCTAGAGCATATGTATAATCATATGTAGTTTTACACGATAGACATGATTTAACAAGAAAAAAATGATGAATAAGATAAATAGATAAAATTTACCACTTCTGTTACATTTTTGATAGGCTTGTATTTTTTTTTACAATAATTTAGTGCATCTTTGAACAACGAATTAATTTTATTTGAGAATTTTTAGCCATTTACATGATTTTTCTTTCTCCCAGTTCTAAGGCTTTGCCTGACTAATCCAAATCGACTCGTGTCGCATACCTGATTTTAGTGGGTGAGTCTCTTAACGGAGATTTTTTGCATCGATATCCAATTTATTGATCGACTAATCCGGATCGAGTATTACAGAGGCAAGGTCAACCCTCTCAACCCAGTTTACTCCATTCACAATCACCATGATTCAAACTTTTAATATTGTTTAAACGATCTATTACTTCATCCTACTAGAACAGCTGGTTGTTGGTATCTTGTTTACATGATTTAATTTTTACATTATTTAGTTATTAAGAAGGTTCATAGATTCTTCTTTACAGGTTCATTGAATTTAAGTAAGGGTCAATAAATATATTCTGCACTTGCTTTGACCAAAGATTAGGGTTCCCTTCCTTTTGTTGATTTAATTAAACTTTGTTCCCACTTGCATGGATATGAACATTTATAAAATACATGAATGATTTGTCCTAGATTCTTTCTATTTTTTAATATTGAAACCACTTGGACTACAAATCTTCCATGAGACCCATGAGGGAAATATTATATTAAATACTATATTCTCTACCAATAATTAGTTGATGAAGTGTTCGAATCATGACGATTGTAAATAGAGTAAACTAGGTTGGAAGGGTCGGTATTTCCTCTGTAGTACCCGATCTGAATTAGTCGATCAATAGATCGAATATCGGTGGTTATACAATAAAAAAAACCCAGATTCTCTAGTCTTTCTTAATAATCTTTGGCTTAAAGTAAAAATTACTCAAATTATGCTTTTTTTTAAGTACCCAAATTATTATTATTTGGTTAAATTAAGGATTTAAACTATTATATTTAATCATTTGTAGTCATCAGTTTTTTAGCTAGAAAATTATTATTTTTATTAATAAGATGTTGACATATCATATAAAATTGTACACATGTTTTTACCAAAAAATAGTTTAGGGGATTTAAACAAAAAAAAAAGTCAAAGTTTAGGGATTTATTTTGGCCATAAAATAGTTTAAGTACTTAAAGTGATTACATATTATAGTTTAAGAACTTGGTTTGGTTAAAAAAACAATTTAGGTACATAAAAGCAAAAAAAAGACATAGTTTGAGTACTTTTTTTTTTACTTTAAACCATTATTTGTACGGTAAAATATAAATGATCTTCCGACTATAGAATATTATTTTATTAAATCTCTCAATAATTAAAAGTTACAAAATGGTCCTCCAATTATAGAATGTTGCTTTATTATGTCCCTCTACTATTAAAAGTTAAAAAATGATCACCCGACTATTTATTACGTTCTAAACTCGTCATTTTTCGTTAAAAAAAATTGACAATATTATGAGTTGAATGTTAACTTGTTGACTGCGATACGGTAAAATTTGATCTCAGAATCTCAAATGACTATCATATCACAACAACCATGTTAATGTCTATCTTAGACAACCACCAATTTTTTAATAGAAAATGACGAATTTGAAACACAATAAATAGTTAAGCAACTATTTTGTAACTTATAGGTAAAAAGGCATAAGAGGTCCATGTATTTTTGGGGGGAGGAAATTAATGTGACACTCGTATTATTTTATCTCTTAATGTGACCCTCGAACTCAGAAAATAAACTCAATGTGACCTTTTGACCAACATTTTTTTATCGTTGACCGTTACGACACTGATGTGGTAGTTCACGGTACTGACATGATAGTCTAGGTGACAGATTAACGTGGCAGATGGTATGATAAATTGACTAACTTGGTAACTCAAACATGACCGATAAACTGTCACATCAATACTATGAACTGACACGCTAGTATTGTAACGATCAATGACGAAAAACGTTGGTCAAATGACCGCATTGAGTTTGTTTTTTTGAGTTGGAGGGTTACGTTAAGAAAAAAATAATACGATGACCACATTGATTTTTTAAAAAATATAGGGACCTCTGATTCTTTTTTGTCTAACTTTTAATAGTCAAAGTAACAAAACAATATTCTATAATCGGAAAATCATTTTATAGTCGGAATATATTTGTATACTTTACAGTAATCTTTATATTATCATAACATTTTTTTTAAATGTGGCAAACTCATCAAATTTTGAAGTGCATGAAATGTACAGATTCTCTCATTGACTATTCCATTATATCCCACGCGCTCTGTTCTTTTAATTACGTTATGGGAATCGCTTTCTACCTTATGCCCACTAACTTTCTCCTCGTTCAATATGTGAAAGCCACCAAGTTCTAACTATACTTATTCCGGCTATATATATCAACATGGTAAATGTTTAAATTTATACAATTTGAGATCTTTGTTTTTTTTAAAAAGAACAAATGTGACACTCGTATTATTTTTTCGTTCAATATGATTCTCTAACTCAGAAAATAAATATAATATAATCTTTTGCCCAATATTTTTTGTCGTTGATTGTTACGGTAGTGACGTAACAGTCTACGATGATTGATATCGTGATAGATGACATGTTAGATGGACTAAATAGGTAACTCAAATATGGCAGATGGACTGTCAGTCAGCACCGTGAATTGTCACTCCAGCACCGTACCGGTCAATAATGGAAAAACTTTAATCAAATGGTCGCATTAGATTTGTTTTTTAAGTTGGAGGGTCACATTGGGAGAAAAAAATAATACGATGACCATATTGATTTTTTCCCCAAAAGTACAGGGAGTTCTGATGTAATTTTACGTATATTATATTCATAGGATAACATTACAGGAAATACTGCATATGTCTTTGCCAATCGAAAAATATTCCCTTTGTAATCTTGTAGCTCTTTTTGTGGATCATCTAGGTTAATTTTATAAGGCCTCTTGGTCCCAAATATCAACTAGAAAATCCACCATTTCCTGTCATGGTGAACCCAACAGGGCTTGATGAGCTCTAGGAGGAGCATGGACAGTTGATAATATCGTAAGAAAATAGCTGCACGGCGGAGAAGAACTTACGGGAAGCGGAATCGGGCGGGGGAACGGCTTATAATCGCCGTGCAAGCTCTTGTAGATCGTATTCCAACTGCAATTCAAAGAATGAACAAGGCCTGTGTTTTAAGCATGTAGACAGTGGTTAAAACAACTCAAACTTGGCTTAATATGGTTGTTTTAATTACTAACTTTATCGTGGTTTCTCGAGGTTGCACACGTTTCTCGGGCCGCTTATTTCCGAGCCATTGCCGTCTTGTTTGGTTCCAGAGAAGAAGGCCTGCAAGCAAAAGTTAGATTTTGACCTCATTGATATGATTACCTAAAAGTAGGCTGATCTTTTCGGTTGGATTCCGGTACTAGAAACTCGAAACAGCACATGAAAATATATGAAGCAATAGGATGCTATTTAACTTAGTACTATATAGAAGCTAATATAGCCCAACTTGCCATGATTTACAAACTCAGAAGGTCGACTTGTGCTGCCAGAAGGATCGAGATTCGAAGCGTTGTTCAATGACATGCCTCCATGGGACTGGACTCCGCTATGTTCCATTTCGCATGCACTGCTATTCCAGAAATCATCGGAAAAGCTAGATCTCTTCGCTTTCTGGCCCTGGACCTTTAGACGATGCTATGGATCATCCACCGCGGTAATCAGTGAAGGTTTCATGAAGCATCCGAAACAACCTCTGCTCTGTTAGAAACTAGGATTAACCACGTGCATGATTGGTGCTGGTAATCATCTATAGCAACTTATCCTTTAAATCTACCAGATGGAAGGAAAAGCCAACGTTTTCGCAAACATAGCAGGGAAATAATCATATAAAACAAGAATCTCAAAATGATTGAAACTTCAAAATCTGTGATGTTGAGCATAATCAATGAGGAGTCACACTTGAAACATAGTGAAATCGCTACCATTTTGTTGAGTCGACATGACATAAACTACGTACAAGATCGTAGGGCAGCTGAATAATGCAAATTTCGCTGGCTTAATCTCCAACAAGTAGGTAATCAAATTTGTGCAGGAGCAAAGTCCAACAACAAACACCACTCAAACACAAATTTGCGCAGGTAAATAATGCAAATTGCACCAGCTTAATCTCCAACCAACATGCAGGGGACCAAACTGGTGCAGGAAAAAGAAGCAACTACGAATATCAGTCGAGAAGATTTTCGTATATTTCCAATGCAGAGAATTTATGAGTCCTTATAAATTGTTGAGTTCACACTAAAACAAACAAAAGAAGAACATGATAAAGAGAAGTAGTTCCTCACACTGAAAACAGATTTGCATTTAGCCTTGAATGCTTCCAGTAGCCAGAGTGTTAGAGCACGTAAATATGCTCCAGAAAACAAAACAAAAGAACAAAATGGTTTCTTCCCAAAACATCTCTTTGTCTGGGTTAATAAACAACACCTAGGATCCATATGAACCCCAAATCCCGAAAGCAAAACCAAAACTCTTGTGTCATGCAATCAGCTGATCCAACACTTCAAGCAACGAATGCCCCAAAATTTGAGAAGTTTCCTAAACACTTTTGTCTCAGTTTATAGCTCGCTTAAACAACAAGCAAGCACTAAACATAATCCAAAGATTCCATAAAAAGAAAAGAAAAGAAAAACTTGAACTACACAAACAAAAACATTAACAACTTTGTTTTATAACCAATAAAGCTTAAGAGTCAAATTTGATAATGACCAGGTTAAAAGCACAAACTTTTATTCCTTGCAATAGAAAAAAATGCAGAAGAAGAAGAAGAAGTCCGACCCCATGCTGGTAAAAAGGGAAGATATCCAGGTGGGAAGGTAACCAGAAGATTGCATCTAAAATCCCACAGCAAAACCAAAATTCCAGGAAAGAAAATGACTTAAATTCCTGCAAGAAAATTTAAAAAGGCGACACCTTTATCTTCCATATCTTTTCCCTGGAAGTCTGTTGTTAAATGAAACTAAGAAAGGGGTACAAGGGGTCTTCCAGAAAGAAAGAAATGCAATTAACACAATGAGAACATCATGTTTAGAATGGATATGGATATTTCGTGATGAAAACGGAAATATTGTTCCTGGAAAGTGATTGGTTTCCAGCTCCTTTCAGTTTTCTCAATGTCTCTCTTTTGTTGCCTCCTAAATTAATCTGTTTTTCTTGTTTTATTGAATGGCGTGAAATTGTAAGCTGCTTCAAAATCTTATCCTCAAAGTTTGTTATTTTTAGACCAACTATTCCTTTTTCTAAAATTTTAAGATTATAACATAATTTATATTTAATATTATAAGTCATTCATATTCCTTAAAAGATAAAACTTGAGAGCTTCTTTTGCTGAAATTAGACTAGCAATTTTAGAGTTGTAATCACAACCAATTTTCAAGGACAAAACAATTTCAGAACTGCTACCAATGAAACTAAGTAGTAACTATTGGAGGAAGGATGTTTGATTTGCTTCCAAGGAAGGGAGCTTTGGTGTCTTGAAAAGTTTCAGTCCCTGCTCAGGGGATTGCATTGATTTGAGCATTTTGAATGCTTCGCACAATCAAAGTATTTTTCCTCCACTGATAAGCCGAGTTTTCTCGCTACCTCAAGTTCTTCGGGAAAGCCAACAACAGTTTCGTCATTGATGGATCAAAGCAACTGGATGTGCCATGTTTCACGGTGATCTAAAGACAGGTTCTTTGGTGGTCAAACTGTCACTTCGTCAAGCTTGTTCCTGGGAAACAGGATATGTTTCCTAAACCGAGCTTGTTTTAACCGCCTTTGTTCAAATTGTAAAGGACATCCCAGGCAACCGGACCTTCTAGTTTGTAATGAATATCTTGCCAAGGCTTTTCTTGGACCGCCTTCTTTGTTCGAAGAGTACACTTGGCAGCAATTTTGAAACCCTGAACAAAGCTTCGTTTATTATCAAGATTACGAGGACAAAGTTTCAACAGGGTGTCGATGGTCTAGATCAACTGTTGCATACAGCAGTGGACCTAAGAACTGCAAAAATATGTTATTGAAATGTTTTAGAACACAAAACATTAAGTGATTAGTGAGAAAGGCTGAAGGATAAGGCAGGTGTCGCACCGTTCTCTTAACTCTCTGAGTTATTCTTTTGATGGCAACAAGGTATGTAATAATGGTCCCGCTTAAGGGATAAAATCAATGTTATGAAATGAAATGTTTATCAATCTCATGGATGATGAACCAAAAAGACCAAAGATTGTAAAAATGTAGCTTAAACCAAAAGAAAGATCAATAATTGAACCAGGCAGGGAAGCCTCTTGATTCATAGCCCTTGAAAGATCAAAATAATAGAGAACAACTTACTAATCCACTTACTGAAACAATACCATGATCATATATATATACAAGGAAAGTCAGAAATTTGAAGTAAATGATTATATTAGCAAACTTCCATATAAAGCATAGAAAAACGTATTTGAACAATCACAATAGGTCATAACAACACGTGATAACGGCTTAGACAGCAGAAGTGTACTACAACATTACATTTTCAAAATGGCAGAGTGGCTTTGCAACCTAGAAATGTCTGATCCAGAAAAAGAATTTGCTGCCAAAACATTCGAATACTGGTTATATTCGATCAGCTAGGTACTGTACCAGAGAGTTGATAGGCTTTCCAAAGTCGACATTTTCAGTACTCTGGTGCTTAACTTTTATTCGAGCTAGGTAATCAGCAGCAATCCAAGCAAAGCTTAACATCACTGTCCCTTCATCACCATCGAACTTCTGTAACTCTAATGTGTTCTTGACCCATTTAGGATGGTAAGTAACCTGGTACCATGCAGATGCCTTTCTTTCATACAACTCATTTTTCTCATCCTCATTGAGCTGCTCAAAGTCCGAGTCCATGTTCTCAAAAAGTTGTCGGAATTCTTTCCTCAGGGACCCGTAAGAATGACTGAGCTTCTCCTTCAAATCTCCTAACTTGCTACTGGCATATCTAGGCATGGACCAGATATGCCCAGTTACAACCTCTTCTTCCCTCTTAACTTTGTACTGTTGAAGAAGTCCAACCAGCTGTCCATCGTAGGAACACTTTTTAGCCCATGCATCAGCAATGAAATCAGCAGATCCAGCAATTTCAAGATCTGGATCATAATCAATGTCACTAGCATCAAAATTGAGCTGGGAAGATTCAGAGACATCTTCATCATAGGCATCTTTGATATGACGATATAGCCTTCCCAGAATTTTGCTTGACTTGTACGATTGGAACTCCTCTTTGCCCATGAAATCAGGGTAATGTTTCAGTTTCAAATCTCTAGGCATTGACACGATCTTCCCGGTTTTAGGAAAATCAACAGCTATAGCCGCCAACTTAACAAGATGTATGCATTTCTCATCTTGAGCACCATGTTTGCTAAGGTCAGAATGAACCACATGTGCATTGCAAATACTTCCGAGGTGCTCAGTCACTATGTTTTTCGAAAAAAAATCTATTATGTCCTGGGGAACAAATGCGAAAGAAAAAATCAATACATTATGTCTTTCACCTACTTGAAACTTGAAATAGTTCAATCATCAGAATGCAGACTAGCCCCTATTTGATATATTTTACACAAGCTTATATACTTCTTTGCCATGATTTTGTTCCAGTTTCTAACAATTGAGGATATTTCGCTGTTAGCACACTAGGCTAGGAATTCATCATGATATAAATCAGAACTTCACACTTCCTGTTTTACATATTATACTCAAGAATTTACTAGTGTTATTGCCACCTTTTTGGCCTCATTTCAGCCTATGGAAATTACAGTAACACAGACACTAATACAGAGCTTGTTACAAAACCATACAAGGATAAATAAAATTTAAACATACAACCATGCACTCAAACATGTCTTTTGATTTTAATATTCCTTTCAATCCTAGCTTCTGAGTACCATACAAGAAAACAAATCTGTTTTGTAGTAACAAATAGATGGTTTTATTAAGGAAGACTAGTAAATTGTATAATGCACTTGAAAATAGGAAACAAAAGAAAACCAATTCTTAAAAAAATCATAAAAGTTGAATGATAACAAAAAACAGAACAAACGGTTACCTTATGAGTGACATTGCGTTTCAATTCCCAAGGCTCATCAGGGTCATACTGCATGCATGGGTGGGGAGCTCTCCTTGCTAGGAGGGATAAGAGGTTCTGCCCATGTGGCAAAGTAAAGGTCCCCATCAAGATCACTTCCGGAAGCTTCATTCGTATGGGGTCTCTCACCATTTTGAGGGAAGACCAGGCAGTCGTGCAAGTGATGTAAACTAGGGGCATCAACTGCTTCTAGAATTCTTATATCTCCAGGGTGAAGACAAGGATTCTTAGCTACAACCACCAGCCCTTTAATCACTTCAAATTTTTTCTTTGTCTCAGCGAACCTAGAGCCATGTTTCACGAAGCAGTTTTCTATAGATGGATTGGACACTTGGATAAAGCACTGACCTTGTTCAAGTACTCCTAGTTCATCCAAAACACCCATTAGGCACCTGCCCGAATTAACAAAAATCCTAGTCTTTTCCCTAAGACCCGAAAGCTGAGATGCTCTTACACAAGTCAACATTCCTCGTATGTGAGGTTCTGTCTGAGGCTTGAAACCTGCGCTCAACATTATTGCCGGAGTATGCCCTTGATCACCACATGAAGAAGTGAGGACTTCAAATGCTACATCAGTGTCCACAAGGATTTTGTCTAATTTAGAAACCATGGCATTTTGCATTCCCCAAAATACTTCATCCGGCACACCCAGTGTTGAAAGCAATGTAATAATTTGCCTATTCAGGAAGCCAGGCTGAAATCTTGTCCAAGAACAGATTTCCAGAGTTGTGTGGTTAGACACGAACTTAATCATACTGGATCGTAAAGAAAGATGAACCCCGTTACCTTGTTCTGGCCAACAAGCCACGACCCCCTTTACAACCAGCATATCTAATTTGATAAGCACAGGGAGGATTCAAGTCCAACTTCAATTTCTGAGCAACTTCCTTTGCAAGTTCGGGAGTAATCTTGCCAATCCCATCTGAGAAATCATATCCATTCCTCTTTATATCTGGAAGATCCATGTTAACCTGTGTTGGAGGAACTTCTACCGTTGCATATGTTGATGAGAAGCACTGACCCATCCTGGCAGCACATTTAGCAATATTCCGGTTTGTAAACTTCCACATCCAAGTAGTAATCTGACTCACATTTATCTTCCCATCTTCAGCAAAAAAACATGCAGAACGATCTCTCAATTGATTGGCGGAGAAAGCAAGGAATGAGTACTTGCGACCACACAAGTAAAATCCATCTGTAAGAAGACCTTACCCTTTTGAAGACTCCTGTTTTATGAGAAAACGAGGTAGATGTCACTTCCCTTACAATTGCAGCATTGTAGTAAGTGAGAACATTTGCATTCATCATCTGCATGCCTTCATCCATAAATGTGACCCTTAAAAACCGATCAGCAACATCTTTATATTTCTTGAGAACCCTATTAGAAAGCTCAACTTCCGGAAGAAGACAATAAGCTTTGGTTGGAGTAATGACCAATCTTCTGATTTCGACAATATCATCCAACCGCAAAGGGCTTCTGAAGAGCTTAGGATTTGTCAGCAACCACTCATGGACAATTTTCAGCCTATCATAGGCATCATACACTGGACGTCTAGAGGTATAGATGTGCTTTAGTGCAGCTACATTGACCTCCATTGATTGATTTCTCAGTAGGTTAAAGAAGTCCTCTGATAACTGATGCTGATTGAATATGCCTT